ACCACATCAAAGTACACCATAATCTGACCTGTATTTGGGTGGGTCCAAGTCATTAAGCCGATAGAAGACGTTGCAGTACACGCCACAGTAGAATAGACACGACGAGGCAGAACGACTGAGGTCCTCCTTGACACATTTTTCAAATGATCTTTGAAGGTCATGTTGGAGTTATGTGTTTGCGTTTAACTAATAGGCTGTCGATCCCGTGGCAAGACTACAATGCTTGTGGTTAAATAGGGTAACGTGCATCGTCCAACGTCCGGTTTCTTTCAGTGCTTCATAGTGTATTCGGAGTACCAGTCGTTCTCCAGTTACTAGCTGGCAAACATGTCTTTGCGGTTTGGATCGCATTCATAAAAGCTCCATCTCTTCATAATTTCGTGATAACGTATTCACAATGTTAGAAGGGCGCTCACCGATCGTGTTACAGAACTCACTAGTCCCGTTGTATCTTACGGGCTCTCTCTCGTACCCAACCAGCGTCACACAGCGGCGCATAGTCTAGGCAGAACGCATTGCCGGCAAAGACAAGGGAGACTGGAATGGTCATTAGACGTTGTTAGCCAGTCATACCCAACTCAGAAGTGGGGAACACCGGGGTCTGGATTCCGCGACCTGTTGGTTAGGAGTCCCGATCCCGTGGCTCAGTGGTTAGGGCGTTGGGCAGGTCGCGGGGTCGAGCCCCAGGTGTTCCACACTTCATGGCTAAGTGTGACTGGCTGAGGACGGCTAATTAACCAGAAATGGTCATTCCAGTTTCCACTGTCATTGTCGGTAATGTCATTCTGCCCAAAGTATTCACAAACGACAGCAAATAGGGCCTATTTATTGGCACTGATGTCTAATTTTTCGTTATACACTATCTTAGACGGAGAAGCTTGTCCATTCCGCTTATATGACTTTGCTTTTGATATCGCCCTGTAAGATGACAGCTAATTTCGAGTAAAAACCGTTTTCGGACGAATGACAGCTTCTAATTCAAACTGAGTGTAACTTATTTCTACCAAGTCTGAATGATGATAAAGAAGTTCATTTCAAATCCTCGGGTTTGTAAATGAAAGGGTTTTAATAGAAAAATGTCATCGAAAACAAAGCAAACTGTTAGTCATCTGCCATCGTTAAGAAGAATGCGTCACCGTGATCACTTCAGCCATTTTAGCAAACGAACGGGCTTTTGCTTTGTTTTCCACCTCATGCTTATTGATGCACCTAACTCATGACACACGCCCCGTCACACGACATTCATTTAATTTGCTTGTTCACGGCTGCTACTAAACGACAAGGCTTATTTGATATAGACTCGCTTTTCCAGATGACATGGAAAGAAGGGCATGACTGAGTTTTTTCATGCAAAATCCCTCAAACATATAAAGATGATCTCAAGCGTCCTATAAAACTCCACCAGAATTAGAAAGTGCTGATTTTCAAGAAGGCCCCATCGAATATGCTGCTTATAGGCTTGCATGTTGTTGGCAAATCGCACTGCGGGGAAAAGGATCGTTCACAGCTGCATTGCTATCACAATCCCAATTTCACACTGCCCCACTCAAATCACGTGGAATTCCGTTTGAACTCCCATGAAATGAACGCAGCCCATGCGATTTTAAAAGTCGTCAGGGAAGGCGTCAGTGATTCTCTGTCTAAAAAGTTGATATATGAGTCCTTATTCAGCTGAGTGGCTGGCTGGATCTCATTAAATCAGCCGCGCTAAAGATAAAAGTGTTGGTATGTTGCGTTCCACTATCGCTTATTCAGTCCCCAGTCCTTTTATTGTAACTTGGTCATTTGGCAGTAAGAACATTATTGATCTGAACGTGCGCAGACTGGCTGTCGAAAAAGACGTAATTGCCACATGCAGAAACAGCACTTTGTTCGGGATACTTTGATCACGAAATATGGATATTTAGTAAATTGCCCACTTTGTACCCAATAAGTCGGTCTAGGTAAGCCGGTGACATCTTTATCTTCCTCCCTTACCAATCAAAAGCCTGAAGCCGGCATTTGAATCGAGTACTTCGCGCGGTGCCTTTTTTGAAAATATTACCTGTTATTAAAGTTTTAGTCGACTCCTTGGTTTA